AGTGATCCTCTCAGCGTCGCACTGCCCGACTTAGATCAGTAAACCATCTCATGTCGTGTGCGGATCGGGATTACGGCATCTCTCATGCCCAACCCTCAGCAGCTGGCCTAGCTGACCTTTATTTTGCGCTGGCGACAATTCGCGCATACGAGTCGGGCGCGAGTCTTGTTCCGTGGCCCTTTTGCAGCGGTGTCCGGAGTTTCTCGAAGCCCGACCACTTCCTGTGGGCTGGGAGACGGCTGATCCATTGTAGACGCGAGACAGGTGAATGGGAAGAGGAACGAGGAGTCCAGCGTGATGACACCGCCGACATTCAGGGCAAGTGGTTACACGCTGGGATGGCAGCGGTAGAGGGAGAATCGCCAGTAGATTTCGCTCCCTCTCCTCTCCTTTTCTTCCCCGCAGTCAGCGTGGGATTCAGGTGGCAAAGAAAGATCGGGGTCCCCACGGTGGGAGACAAAAACACTTTGAGTGGCCCTAGCTGGGTTGAGTGTTGTGGGCTTGTCCAACTACGTCCAAGCTGGTCAAACACGAGGTGACTTATTGGTTCTTGGGCGTTCCACCAAGGAATGGTGTCTGGCCCAAATTCACTGAACGGGAGGGATGGCACTGGGCTGGCCGTGGCAAAGGACTGGCTAGTTCGGAGTCGAGCTTGACCCGACAACTGGACTAGAGGGGGCCAATGTGGAAAGGTACGTAGCATTTAGTGCCCGGGTCGTCCGCCCAACTGGCCCAGACTTCGGCACGGCTATGATATTTCCGTCCCGTCCTCGACCCCTGTGGTCCGCGTTCGGCCGAAGACACGGTCGGCTATTGATTGCCGCGCGATGCTCACGGAGGGACGCACAGATCTCTCAGAATGTCCGGTCCCAGAACGCCCTGGCTCTCGACACACACCTCACTTTCCAGCCAGATTGTCAAGCTGTTTCTGAATATTTGCATGGTAGCGGTCGATGCCACCAGGTCGAGCCATCACAGTCAACAAGTCATCTGCACAGTCAATCCCTTTGGGCAGCTCGCAGGATAGATTTCTCCTAAACAGACATTGTCCAGGACCTGCCTCCTCAAAAGTATAGGTGATGGTGGTGATTCCGTCCACTCCACCCGTTCCATCCGGAAGCTTCCCAATTCCATTGGTCTGCTGGATCACCCATTTGAATGGCCGCACCGCGGTGATCAGCGTCCATGTCGAGTGGTAGGTGTTTGGGGGCAGGGTCACCTTCTCCGTCCAAGTATAGCCGACCTTGAGAGGCAGATCCTTGTGCATCTGATGCTCCGCGACCATGCCGCCGCTGCCTTTGTAGTTCTGTCCCCATGTCGTCGGGTTGGTGGCATAGTCGTAGACAACCTCGCGTGGATGGGTAATCACATTTTCGGAGGTATTGCTCATAACACCCATCTTTGTTGTGGTCTAGAACACAGAATACAGAATCTGCTCAAAGGGTAGATGGATCGGGGTGCTTGATTGCCTCATTCCTAAATTATCCCTCAGTCGATGTTATATATCCCTATTCTTCGGCTGTGCGCACTTTGACTAGTGTCGCTGCAGTCATGATCGCCACTTTGTCAGTAGGTCAGTTGGTTCCTGACGTCGACCAAAGTACTCCTCTCTCCCAAAGTCGGTAATTGTTGCTTCACATTCTTGCTTTCCCCATCATCGGCCCGGAAATCTAGGGCAAACGATCGGCGGCATCTGGGTTCCCGACACAGTTACTGCAGCCGACGAGGTCGATCAAGCCTGGTCATAGCTGGTGCCCAAATAGCGGGCCATCTAGTAAAGCCTCGCAGATGGATTGTCATGCTACCAGCCATTGTGTTTCCTCCTGGCAAGAATGTTGAGCACGCTCGAGGTCGCTAAGCATAATTCCTCCCAGTCGTGCTGGGTTATCATCTCGGACAAGGTGTACGATGTGACGGATTTCTTGCACGACCATCCGGGGGGACCGAACAGTATTCTAAGATATGCTGGCAAGGTATTACACTCATTCCGACTGCGACTCTGTCTGACTTGTTGCGATAGGACGCGACAGAGGAATACGACACAATCCATCCTTCTGGCACCATTCAGCGACATCTATCTCTAGGTAAGAAACAAGACACAAAGAAAGACCTTTGCGCGAGAAAGAGCGGGCAATGCTGAGATCAAACCAGACAAGCACCTTGGACCTGTTGATAATACGACCCTGGCTTCAGAGCCTCGGAACGCAGAGGCTAGAGGTTCGACGCAGAACTCACCACCTTCCACCTTCAAGATGGATTCCAGGTCCGAGGAAACTCAAGGCCCACTCATTACTCATATTTCCGTATGCCAGAATCTGGATGATATCGAGTCCGTCGCGCGCCAGAGGCTTTCTCGCAAGGCTTGGGTGTACTACGACTCTGCCGCCGACAGCTTGAATTCGTTCATCACCAATCGACTTGACTGGGCCAAGATCTCGTTTCGTCCGCGCGTTCTTCGTAATGTTGCACGTGTGAACTTGACCCGTCGTGTTCTAGGCCATGAAGCCAGCCTGCCCTTTTTCATATCACCAGCGGCAATGGCGAAGCTCGGGCATCCCGACGGAGAGCTTTGCCTGGCACGGGGCGCCGCAGAAACGAACATAGTGTACTGTGCAAGTACGTATTCTTCTGTTGCTCATGATGAGCTGGCACCTTGCTTTGATCGGCGTGAAGGTCGAGGCGCGCTGAGTTTCCAGTTGTATGTACCGAAGAAGAAGGAGGACGCCAAAAAGCTCATTGAAATGGCCAAGAATTTGAAATGCAAGAGCCTGGTCATCACGGTCGACACCCCAGTCGTAGGGAAGAGGGAAGAAGATGACAGGTACAAGGCCAAGCTTGAAGTTCGGGAGGGTCGTGAGATTCCCAGGACGCCGGCTCCCGCGGAGGGTGAAGAGGCGCCGATCTTGAGAGGCTACCATTCATCCACAGTGGACTGGGAGGACATACGATGGATGAGGAAACAATGGGGCGCAGAACATGGACCGGTTGTTCTCAAGGGCATTCAAACTGCTGAGGACGCATATCTGGCGTCCTTGAACGGAGTGGACGCGATTTATCTGAGCAATCACGGAGGCAGACAACTGGATTTTGCCCCCAGCTCAATTAGAACATTACTGGAAATCCGCACTTTCTTTCCCCATGTCCTGGAATCGATGGACGTCTATCTGGATGGAGGCGTGAGGAGAGGGACAGATATCGTCAAAGCGTTGTGTCTGGGCGCTAGAGGTGTTGGCCTTGGAAGACCGTTCCTGTACGGTTTGAGTGCCTTTGGGACCGACGGCGTGGTCAAGGCAATTGAGAGCAAGTTGTCCACACATGAACGCAGAGCATTGACATCAGCTAACAATATACTAGTCCTGAGCGAGGAGATAGAGACGACAATGCGGTTGTTGGGTGTTACGGATTTGAACCGGCTTGGACCAACTTACGTGAACTGCACACGTTTAGCACAAGAGTTGCCGCCTGCAGACGTGGTAGATGTGGACGCTGTGGCCAGACGCATGTTAAAGCAGAAGCTATAAGTCTCCCGGGCCATTGGATTATGGCAGCTCTTCTATCCTCATTCAATCCATTTCTTACCCAAGAGATGGCCCAATCAAGCATTACAACTTTGCAAGTCCACTTTGAATGCCTTTACGGGCCGCTGCAACTTCGTTTGCCATCCCGCTCACAACGGCGCCGTAGTCGAACGTAGACAGAATGAAGTTCATGCCTTCGGCAGTGCGTTTGCCTGCGTGGTCTTCTCCCATGCCCATGCAACCAACGATTTTACCCAGCCTCTTCCCAGCAGCGCAGATCCTTTTCAAAGCGTCTAAAAACTCTGGCTCTGGCCCATCCACTGCTGCGGTCAAGCCCAGAGACAATCTCAAGTCCGCCGGACCGATAAAGCAGCCAGAAACACCCTCCAAGGCTAGTATCTCCTCAACATTGTCCAGACCCTCGCGCGATTCTATGATTGGGAGGATCGCGATCTCTCCTCGTTTGGCACGTTCAAAATAGCCAGCCATGCCTCCCTGAGGCCCGTCAGGGTGAGCCAAAGGTGCGTAAAGAGGCCCGAAACTCCTACGTCCTGCTGGTGGATAAATGGCACGATCCAATATCGCCCTCATTTCCTCAGCGTTATTGACCATAGGTATGATGATACCTGCACAGCCGCTATCCAATGCCCATTTGACCCATTCAACTCCGTGGGAAGGGATTCGGATGATGGGAAATCGTGTTCCTCGCGATACTTGGACGTAGGCATGCACCATTTGCGTAACAATATCCATGGTCATTGGCGCATGTTCCATGTCGATCATGGCGAATTCACTGTCTGCTTGTCCAGCAAGTTGAGCAATGGTGACAGAAGGAATAGTCACAACCGTTCCCACGAGAGGCCCCTTCTGAGATCTGGCCTTCTCCACAAATGATTTTGCGACTGCTGAGCTTGCTCTCGTGGAGCTGCTGGAGGCAACACCATACGACGCCATTCTGAGCCGAATGATAGGAAATTGGCGGGCAGAGCAATGGCGATTCTTGACGTGATTGATGGCGACAATGGTCAATTAAGGCTGGAGGTACGGAATGGCTGGAGGAAGTTCTCACATATGATTGTACCCTGTTGGCATCATACCCATTGCAGCCTCTTGAGCGAGGCACGGCAATGACCTTGCCTCCTTTGCGACGGGCTGAACGACAGAGCATTGCCGCATCTCGGATAAATTCCTCCCATTCGCATTCGCGCCAGCGAGTCACCCCTGAGAGCCCCACCTGTTGCTTCTTTCAGCTGGGGCCACCCAGGGACTGCCCTGCCCGAATGTAAGCTCTTGACTCGGAGCATGTGCCGTGCGAAAAATGTCCCAGCATTTGGACAAATAGTGCAGCGACACCCTGGCTCGGCCATCCCCTTTGCGCGAAGTTTTACCTTCAGCAAGCGGTTTGACGACAACCTTGGCTTAAGGTATCATTTTCATCACGACCTTTGGAAACCTAAAACCAACCGGACGCCATCTTTCATCATGGATGATGCTCAACCACACCCTGCTACACGGACGATGCAAGACGTCCTGGTCACCAAGCGCCGCGCTTATCAGTTGAAGACTGTTATTTTCATCATAGGGATGTCTTGGGGCTCACTTGCATATGGGTGGGTTGCCGCGACGTTGTTTGCTTGGAACACTGGTCAATATGCTAACTGCCATCTGTGAAGCTACATCGCATCAGTCATAGGTCCGTGTCACTACACCAATCTTCATTTACACCGTTGAAGATCTGCCGCGACAATGTTCCGTTGGAAATTCTATATTTACACTTCGCAGGTATAACATTGGGCCAACCATCTTTCCTGCAGTACATGGGTCTTCTTACACGGTCGAATGCATCCGCACTTATCAGCGCCATAACGTGCTTATTTTATGTCGGTGGCACTTTTGGTTCCCTTGCGGCGGCACCGTTGGCTGACCGTTGGGGGCGTAAAGTTGCCGTGCTCGTCGGTTCAGTTATCACTCTATTTGCAACAGCCCTGCAAGCTGGTGCGATCAACCCTGCCATGTTTATTGCTTCAAGGTTCATTGGCGGATTTGGGTAAGACATGTTGGGGTGGATTGGAACACCTAACGATGACATGGTGCTCTGAGTGCTGTACTGATTTCTTGTAGGTCAACAATTATCTTCGCCGCCGTGCCTGTGTGGATCACTGAGGTCGTGCCGCCGAAAGACAGGGGGATGCTCATCGACATCCATCCAATCCTGATTAATGTCGGCTACTGCATCTCATCCTGGATTGGCGTCGGATTTTATTTCTACGACGCTAAAAATGCACAGTGGCGAGCTCCTATCGCGATAGGATGCCTTTTCCCCATCCTCTCACTTGTCTGCGTGCCATTTGTTCCAGAGAGTCCCCGGTATCTACTGATGAAGGGCGAGGTGAAAAAGTCTTGGACTGTCATCAAAGACTTGCATTCTCGCCCAGAGGACGTGGACCACCAATATGCCACGGCAGAGTTTACGGAAATCAAAGAGCAAATTAGGATTGACCGGACACTAAAAACATCCTATTGGCAGATGTTGAAGCGCCCTTCGTACCGCAAGAGGGTGTTTATCGGATGTGGTTTGATCTGGCTCCTAGAGACATCTGGAACGTTGGTGATAAACAGTAAGTTGTATTCCTTCCCTTACAATAGACACGACCACCGCTAATATACTGTTCAAAGTCTACGGTACCGTCCTCTATCGTAGCCTGGGATATGGGGACTTGCAAGTGCTCTATTTCCAGGCCGGTTGGGTCACCATCGGCTTCACAATGAACACATTGGCAATTCTAGTTGTTGAACGTATGCCTCGACCAACCCTGATGTTTATCGGTTTCCTTGGATGTCTGGGCAGCCTAATAGGGGAAACCGCTATTCAGGCTCGCTATCTCGGCACCACCAATAAGTCGGCGTTGGCTGGCGGAGTTGCCATGCTCTATACGTTCGTGCTCTTCTTCGCCTTCTTCCTCGACGGCTCGACCTTCTTCTACATTGGCGAGATCTTCCCGAATCACCTGCGAGCACAGGGGATGACTTTGGCAATGTTGACCTTGAATCTCAGCAATGTTTTGTGGCAAAGCGCAGCACCGACGGCGTTGGAAAACATTGGCTGGAAGTTTTACCTCATCTTCATCATCTCAACCACTTTCGCCTGTGTGATTGTCCCTCTGACCTTCCCAGACACGAGGAACAAACCTCTGGAAGAGATCGGCCCGCTGTTTGGGGACGAAGCCGAGGAAATCGCTGAGATTAGAGGTACTGATCTTGTCGACGAACAAGGAGCAACGAAGCGCCCTGGGGAAGAATACGAGTTGGCCGCTGAGTCTTGAGGCATATGGCCCGGTATGGAGCGGATACAACGGGACGGCAGTTAGCAAACCCATTGCCATGATGTGGCAGAGGTCTCGCATACATACCAAAAACTGGAAGAACAAAGGAGCATACTTGACCCATGGGGTCAGGCACCTCACTTTCCTGGGCATAATTACATTCTCTCCACAATGGAGCCATAATTTGAGCCTATCGGCCTCCCCGGCTACGTGCACCCGAGAAAATAATCCGGATGTTGAGCTCGGTTATACATAGGCGAGCTCTGTTCCCAGGCAACAGAGCTAGTTGAGCCACGACAGCCTCGTCCAGATCCGCGGGAAGCGCCGTCTATAAGTCAAATGCTTCTACATGCCATAATTCTCTAAACCATCTTCGCATCACCGCGGTCAATACGTCTCTAGTCAATCTCTTCTCTCAGAAAGCATCACAATGGTGGCAGCATTGAACCCTAAAATTCTCAAGTTCACTCCACTTTCCGAGAGCTTTGTGGCGGAAGTGGAAGGACTGGACTTCAGAGCCCCAATACCTGAGCCTGTCAGAAATGAATTGCTGAACGGTCTCCACAAATATGGCGTTTTGGTTGCCCGCAAGACTGCCATCACAGACGACTCGATGATCGCGCTGGGTCGTCAGTGGGGCGAACTTGACAACATCACGGCGCACAAGAAGGCTGGTCGCAGAATGCGCCTTCCTCAGGATGAGATCTTCGACGTGAGCAATATCGACCCCGACGACAACATCATCACCCACGCAGATGCTCTTCGGATCTCCAGTGCTCGAGGGAATGCTCTTTGGCACGCCGACGGTGCCTACAATCCCCGCCGGTCAGGCATATCAATCCTCCGAGCCGTCGAGTTACCACCAAAGGGCTCGGGGGGAGAGACCGAGTTCCTGGACTCACGTAAAGCATATGAGGACCTTCCAGAGGAGACCAAGACGAAAATCGATGGCCTGGTGGGCCTCAATACTCTTCTGTGGAATCGCAAGCAAGCAAATCCCGACATGGATACGTTCAAAGATATTGATTGCACCAAGGTCCCGTTAGCCAAGCACAAGATTGCCCAGATTCATGAGCCAACGGGCCGAGGCAACCTTTACATTGGGTCTTACAATCACCATATCGAGGGTCTACCCACAGAAGAAGGCCGAAAGCTCATTGACGAGCTCATGGCTCATGTGACCCAAGACAAGTACAGATTTGCGGTACATTGGGAGAATCCGGGGGATGTGACCTTTTGGGACAACACTGCAGTGCTGCACCGTGCTACGATCGGCGACTACAACGGTAAATATCGTCGCGACATGAGAAGGATTTCGACATTTGATACCAGTTCCTGGGCATATGGAGAAAATGACCCTGCAACCTCGAAGCAAATAGGGCTGCAGTAGTCGCCGCCCGACATGAGTCGAGAGAAGAGCTTCCCAAGTCCTGCCATTCTGTGTAAACAGCCCAAGGTATTAGCATATATATTTTTCCTCCCAGGAAACACCCACCCTATGTAGGAATGTCAATAGCAATGAAATCACGAGAATCTCGGGGTCTTATATGTCTGGAATGTATGCCCTCGTATCTTGGCTGATATAGGCACCTGATTTCTTATTGCCTGAAGAGGACTTCTCAAGGCGAACAACTATGCTTTCTTTTCATAGCTAAAATTTAAGGGTCCACATCTGGGAATCTATTCTATGGTATCGACCTGGTAGTTTACGACTGATCCAGCATACAATACCGCCCAACTTGAGCAGCAAAGTCTTCGATCATAAAGCCTAGAAGATGGCCATGGCATTGGGGTGACTTCCCACACCACCTACAGGAAATTGATTAGTCCATGCCGTTTTGCCAACAGGAGAGGGGAAGATTTATACCTGGTACGTTGGCTGGGCTGCTCACGAAGAAGAAGTGGTATCTGCTGTGCCTTTTGCAAGTGGCGGCCAGTTTCTCCAGATTCCACATCTCCCCTATCGGGCAGCCCCAGCGAGGCAGGAGATAAAGATGATGATTCCATTCGAACGGCGTTGGCCATGATTCGAAAGCTGGAGAGTCCGCAGCCACGGCCGCGAAATAGTTGTCATGCAGAAAGTCCACCGTTTCCTCACTAACCTCCACGCCGACAAATTTATGGTCGAAAACGCCACCTTTGGCGATGCCTGCTCGCCCCGCCTGGTCGAGCTTCTGGTAAGCGTCGATCCAACCAGTACGGACGATCAAGATGTCGCCGTACTGGAAGGTTGTGCCTTGGGATTGCGCGCAGGCAACTAGTTCTTCCTTTGATATGGGGTACGTATCATTGGGGTTGTAGGTCTTCTTTTGTTGCTGCGCGTAGGACCAATAGTCGATCAAGACACCTCTCCCGACTACACCAGTGGTTAGTCGGAGTGTACCTCTATCAGAGGGCAGCAGGCTTCATCATACCAATTCCATGATCTGCCCAGGCGTGGGTGCCACATCGGGTAGTGTTCAAGATTTCGTCTTGCGTCAACTGATTGGCTCAGCTGGCGAGATTGCCCGACGGGAGCAATTTTGAGACTTACGTTGTTGTAAAAGATCACGCCATCACCGTGCGGAACACTGACCTGTGCGAGATGTCAGCGCTTCGCTCTGCCCGTGTCGTACGATTGAAGTCCCCTGACATGTCTAAAGCCGTCCCACTGCAGCACAATTAGTGTTGAAACTCTTTTGGAGAAGGTCTACTCGCCTGTGAACCAGACTGTGAGTTCATATAATACACGTCGTCGTTACCGCCAGGACCTAGACTTTTCACCTTCCAATTGAAAGGTTCTCGGCCAAACGCTGGAGGGTTGGGCAGATTCAAAGGCCAGCTAAGAGGCTGTCAGAGTCTAAAAGCAAGGAATCTGAGACGACATACTCTAGATTGATTGTTTCCCCATTTTCAATAAGTTTTGCTGCGGCCAAGCGACGACGTGGCGTCAGTAGATTGAGCCTTCCTAGCTACAAGGTACCGTCAGCACTACCGAAAGAGTTGTGACGAGCACGAGCACCTCATCGTCGGCCCCCCAGAACCACGCAGCCCCTTTCGGAGCACCAGGAATATCCGGCAGCTCAGAGCGCTTGGGCAGGTTATCAGAGTCTGGATCGAATCTCATCGTGTCAAGAGCGTCAGTCGTCAGCACAAGTTTCCAGAAGATGCTATTTAGGTGGTCGAATGAATGTGATATCAAGGCAACCTCTCTGCTGCAATGGGCGACCGGCCAATTAAATCCACCAGTTTTTCGGCAACCTAAGGCCATGTACCCGGGTGCGCGGTCTGGTGGTGCTTCCTGACAATCGCATTTTGACCTGATGCGGGCACTAGCCGAGGTCCAGGCACCTGATGGATCGGCTTTTTGAATACTGGATCCACATCCTCTACGGCAATATCAGACATTTTATGCGTGCTGCTCTCGCCCGGCAACCCAGCTCGCTTGGGAATCAAATGAGTAAAGTGAACGTAGTAGCTTCTTCAGCCTCTTTCTAGATGCACAGTGACTCGGAAACGTTTTCTCTAAAAGGTCAACCATCGTGATCATTGGTACATCGTTGAACAAATCTCTAGGTAGTCTTCGCGTTCATATGCGTCTTCAAACATCGTATTCTCGCTGTTCGTCAAGCCCATCAACAAGCCCGAGGTAGTGCGTCAGATCTCGACCATCCAAATCACGCATGGAAAAACCATTTCCTAGCCAATACCATGCATTATCATGTTGATATTGAATGTTGTAATCCTCGTATCGCGGTGAAGACATGAGTTCAATGCTGTACGTGCGCGTCAGCGAAGCTACAAGACTGTCATGCGGGATTGTAGTGGCAAGGAGAACCCTTACTATTGCAATCGAGTTCCGGGGTGCAGCATGATCCTTCCGTCGATCTTACCACCTTTGAACCAGCTGCGACAAGGCGCATCATAGACAGTGCGCTTGTTGAACAAATCGGCATGTGCAGCGTATTGATCAATGATCTCGCTCTTGGGCGTTATGCTTCTGATATCCTCCGCTTGTATCTTCCGGATCATCTTCATGATGTACGAGGCAAACAGTTCAATCATAGGCATCGCGCTCCCCTGTCCGAGCGGTCCGTATGGACCATAAAAGGTGAAGTAATTCGGCATGCATGGTGCTGCCACCCCCAGGTATCCAATGGGCTTTTTGGCGTACAGATCTTGCAGATTAATACCTCCAGCGACTATTGGAAACCGCGGAACCCATGATGTGTCAAAGCCTGTCGCACAGATGATCACATCGACCTCTTGCTCGACACCATCTGAATCAAGAAAGCCGTTCTCTGTGATATGTGTCAAGCCGCCGTCGTAATAAACGGTTACATTGTCTTCGATCAGGGCCTCCAGGTAGCCATTTCCGGGACTAGCATCTCGTTAGATCAGATCGCGAGGATTAGAGATCAAGTGAAGCTGATGCTCAGGATGAGACGTACGTAGGGCGTTTGCAACCCACGGGAAATGTTTTCGGGATAAGTGCCTCGGCAAGCCTTTCATGCCCGTTCAGTCGTTTCACCATTTCCTCACGCGCAAACTGGCATAATGTTGTGAGCCATTTTCTGTCGACCTCTCGATCGAGGGGCAAGATACCTTCAAGGCTGCCATAGAGTCCGGAGTATTCTTGTGGAACACATAGAACCCACGAACCATCTCGGCTTCAACCGCCTTCCTGTACTTGAGATAGTACTGGGGATCGTCCTTGAAGCGCTTCTTCTGTTCGTCTGAATCTGCACACGATAATAAGCTAGAGCACAGAGCAGAGGCCAGTGAGATGTTATTACATTCAAAATTTGTTCCGTTCTCTCCGGCATACTTTTGCGCAAATCCAGCGGTCATCCATGTGGGAGTTCGGGCCCAGGTATAGAGCTTCGACACCACTTTCTGGATGTTAGCGACAATCTGAATGCCACTCGAACCGTTGCCAATCACAGCAACTCTCTTGCCGTCCAGGTTTAGGCCCTCTGGAAAAGCCGCAGAGTGGGTCAAAATGCCTTTGAATGTATGTAGGCCTTCGATCCCGGGCCATTTCCAGTTACTGTTGCGCTTTAGTCCAACAGCTCAATCTCCAGCGACGTGCTGACTTACTTCAAAAACCCCATGGCATTAATGAAAATATCGCACTGATCGGTCATCTGACTTCCACCTTGGAGATCCGTAATTTTCACAGTCCATTTACCAGTCTCCTCATCCCACTGAGCATGTGTTACTTCGTGGTTTAGTTTGACGTACTTCCAGAGGTTGTATTTGTCAACGACGCTTTTGAAATAGGCAAATATTTCTGGTGCCTCGGCATAGTATTTTGACCATATCGCCGGATCCCATGAGAATTGATAAGTGACACTGGGTATGTCGCAAGCGCAGCCGCTGTACAAGGACGTCAACATGATGTCAAGGTGAATTTTGAATACAACATATCAGCAGCTCTTTGAGGATGAACTGAAGTCGGCCGCAGGGAGACGTACGGATACTTATTCTCATACCAGGTCCCAGCTACATCACGATTCTTCTCATAGATGATCAGCTCTATGTCCTTCAACTGATCCTGCGCAAACTTGGCAAGGTTGATGCCTGAAGCACCCGCACCGACGCAGACAACCCTCAGTTTCCGCCCAGTCCCTGATGGGATTTCGTTGATTTTGTATCCATTCTTGTCCGTGGTTGGCCAATTGTACAACGCCGGCATCGACTCATGAGGCACTTCAATGCCGTTTGCCTTTGGAATGTCCTCTTCTTGAACCAACTGGACAGCCATGTTGGTGGATTTTGCGTGAACTAGAAGTGTTGTAGAGCCAGACAAGATTCGAATACTTGCAGGAATGCACGTATCGAGTTACAGAATACTTAATCGGTCATAGTTTAATCCCGGACAGTCCTTCGTTTCGTGAACCCGGGTTGCTCCCGTCCCGATATGTACGCATGGACCCGAGTCAGATACCGAGACCAGATGACGTCCACGTTTCCGCGTAAGTCCACCTCTGTGAGCACGGCTCTGTCGGACAAAGGGAACTTTGCTCCATGATCATTTTCAGTAGACACCCTCGACGGAGAGGTAAGCATATGTATCTCATAAATCGACAGCTGAGCAAAAGGACCAAGAAAAGAGGCGATAACGAGGTCTCCTGATCAGCGTTCTCAAGACTTCACTCGGTACTGGAATATGTGACTTGGGAATTCGGCTGCAAACGTACGATCCCAGCTCTCTTTGTAGATGAGACTTGATTTATCTATTCTATGGCTTTCTAGAGAATTGCAAGAGCATTGGGAGGGCTTGCCACCCCGCCTTCAATGTTCAGCGGCGCACTCGTGACAAAGAAAGTCCATCGCCTCTGCTTCTTGCATTCGGCCGCTAGAGCTTCTAGATCCCAGAGCTCTCCCAGTGGTGTGCCCCAGAGTCCTAGGGCAGTGTCATGGATACCTGTCATCGCAGCAGTCAGTCACATCGCCCTGCGAGCAGACTGTGATGTGGAAGGGGTGGACTCACGGTATGGCATTTGAGCGGGCCAGGCCTCGAAGGCCATATTGTCAGCCACCAGCGCTGAAAAATGGTGATTCCACAACCATTCAATGGAAGAAGCTGTCCCTTCAATTCCGCAATAGTTGTGGTTGACCTTGCAACCTTGTACTCTTTCCGCATCAGAGGATTCATTGTACCACTTGATCCAGCCCGTGCGAACAAAGAGCATGTCTCCCGGCAAGAATTCAGATCCTTGCCAATTTGCAACTTCGTCGAGATCCTTCTCGCTAATCTTGTGTGTGCTATCGGGCCTGTATTTGATACCCTTGTGCTCTGCCCAGGAGGCATAGTCCAGTAATATACCTCGACCAGCAAGCCCGCCACGCTTGAGCCATTCTATCCAGGGTGTCAAATCTTGACCTAGCACAACCCTGGAGCACCTACTGACCTTGAATTCCATTCCTCGTGTTCGGGTAGGGTCCGCTAATCTCTTCATGAGTCAATCCGTTATAGTATTGTCCAGTCTCTTGAAATGCCCAATGACCTAGATCCTAATTAGTTGCATCCTCACAGAGCGATGTTGGGTGAAAACTAACGCAATCCGTCCCACTGACTACTGGTCTGCGTGTTGATGGTGATTTCGTCATCGTGCCCAACTAGAGCTGGCTTCAGGTCCAGAAATTTGTGGACGATCGGATTGCGGTTGTGTCCAGGATTGCGGATGCACTCCAACGGCCAGCTAATTTTTTTTGTGAGCCAACCCTCTAGGTATCACGTAGTAGTATTGCAGGGGCCCTACTTCAGCGATACACTCACTCCCGCTTTTATCTCTTCTTTGGCGCGGAGCACCTTTTTCGGGGTGAGCAAGTTCAAAGTCCCCAGCTGGTCTTTAACACCGGACTCGTCGAAGATGCCCCATGCACAGCCATGAGGCATACCAGGCACGGCTGGGATGTCTTTGTAGTCAGGCAGGTTTTCTGCTTCCACAACCATCTTGTTGACTTGTTAGGTACGACACTGTATGGAAATAAGACACCACTTTGGCAGAAGCTATGTTGTACTGCTCAAATTTACAAGACTTCCGCACCGTGGGTTATAACGGCCGACGTCCGAACCCTCCGGCAATCCTCCCGCGCCTACTCCTAGCCAGACGTCGCCCCGATGTGTCGAAGCCCCACCCAGCCCGCGCGTTACGCGATCATTCGTGGTCAACCCAGTCGCGGCACCTCGATTGCGCACACCAGGCGGAGATATGGTAACCGCTCGGCTGGAGAGCGTTGAGTGTGGAAGTCTTGCTCATCTTTTATATATGTACTGCATGTACCGAGTACGAGCGCCCTGGTGGCTCTTGTGGCCTGGTGGCGTCCGCGATAGCGTACCTCAGTGGCTGCGTGGTTTTCTCCATCTCTAATTGGTCTAGTACTCCCTCTTGTTCTTTATGTAACACTGGGGAGATCTGGCGCCAGCATCTGCACTGGCATCCCTAGGACTGTAGCATCTCTTGCAGCAGAGAGTCCCCAAGATCCCTGAGGACATTTTTCTTTATTTTTCCACTGCCGGTCAGGGGATATGTGTCGCTGACTTTGGCATCTCCAATCCAAAATATGTGTTTCGGCGCCTTGTGCCTTGCCAACTTCTGACGCACCCATTCACGTAGCTCTTCCTCCCCCGGCCGCTTACCGTCTGCAGTCTGCAGAAATGCTGCCACTACCTCCCCATACTTGGTATCTTTCAGGCCGACAACGCTTGCATTGACAATCATGGGGTGTTCCATAAGCCGCTCCTCGATCTCGAGAGGAAAGATGTTCTCGCCTCCTGATGCAGTGTCAGCAAAGAGCGAGAGCCTTTGATGGGGGAAAGAGATAGCTACTCATACATACCGCGAATGATCACGTCTTTGATGCGGCCGGTAATTTTGCAGTATCCATCCTGGTCAAAAGATGCTTCGTCGCCGGTATGCATCCATAATACGCCTGCGTCATCCTGTACCATTACTTCATTTGTTTTTTCAGGGTTTTTCCAATAGCCTTTTTGCAGCAGATACCCAGAAACACAAAGTTCCCCCTTACAACCTAGGGGCACAATCTTCCCATCTCTGTCGATTATCTTCGCAGATGTGTGTGGCAAGATCTTCCCTACCGTAGCCAGTCGTTGCTCGAGTGAGTCTCGGCTCGATGTCATGAAACTTGCTGGTGAGGTTTCCGTCATGCCTGGGTCGGTTAGTGAGGAAGGGCTCGTGCGCCGAAAGGAATGACCAACCGTATGTATTGGTCAAGTGCTTGAGATTCATCCTCTTGCCCAAATCCTCCATCATCTGCCTGGGCGTTGCCGATCCGGCGGCAATGCCCGTCCACAGCGTCGAAACATCATGTTGCGGGCCAAGTAACTGAAGTTCTGCCGCCCACATAGCTGGCACGCCGTGGATCGCAGTGCATTTCTCCTCAGATACTGCGCGTAGCACAGAATCGGCATCGAAAGTATAATTGGGGAACACGATTGTTCCGCCGAGAGTGACCATGGCCAACAACCCGAGCACTAGGCCGAAACAATGGAACAACGGTGGAGGGCAGCAAAGGATATCCTTGTCTGTGATCCCCATCCGCTCGCCGATGAATCGAGCGTTGTTAATAATATTACTGGATTGGTTAGTTGAAAGTAGACAGTGCGCAGCGAACAGAACTCACTAATGCGTCAACATTGCTGCCTTTGGGTTCCCTGTCGTCCCACTCGTGAACTGTAGGTTGCAGACATCATGCGGATTGACGGCAAGTTCAGCTTCCCGCAGAGCCTGCAAGGTGACTTCATGTTCGCGAGATAGCACATCCTGCAAGGAGGATAGATGGTGATGTTTAGAGTTATCTTTCATCAACAGTAAGATCTGTTCGAGGCCGGGCACATCGATAGCACCAGAGGCGTCAAGAAGTGCGTCTATAGATGGACCATTATCTCGCGAGCCAATGGTCGTCGCCGCCAACAAGAACTTGCACTCTAGTCCCGGTGAGCATGGCTTTTATGTAGGATGGAAGAACACTGACCGCCAGCAATAATCGCTCGTCTCAGCTCCTCCGGAGTGTATGTCGTGTTGAGGACAACAAGAATGACGCCGATGCGTCCACACGCAAAGAAGAGCTCCACATACTCTGCACAATTCCATGCGACCACCCCGATACAATCACCGTGGCGAGCTCCCAGGGCGAGTAGCCCACGTGCGAGCTGTCGAGTTCGTTCTCGCAGTGAAGAGAAGCTGTGACGAATATTTTGGGCACAGGATACCACGGCAGTCTTTGATGCGAACTTCTCTGTTTGAATGTCTAGAATGGTCCCCAAGGTCCAGTGTAAGAGCGCTGGTTCGTTAGGACCTTGCAGTAATGAAAGAGGGTTTGTTCGACTGAGGTGAGCTAGCGTCTGCTGTAGACGTTGCAGAGCCATTCCGCGGCAAGATCCCGAACACAACAGGAGATGCCAGCAAAAACCATCCGTCTAGACTGTGGCATGTTGGCAATGCTAAGTGTACATATAAGAATTTTTCGGATCCGGACCAGATGGGCGTCGGTGGACCCGGGAGAACGCCGTGGTTGAAATCCCGCAACCACGGGACGGGGTTGAGTTCACACTGAAGAAGCGCCAATCTGGCAATTGACTTGCAGCGGAAGGATTGCCCACTAATTGCACACCGCAAAGACCTATCGTGCGAGGATAGGACTTTCTCATCGGGCCGAGTCTATCAGAGGTCCAGATAGTGTCCTGAGGTACGCGACATGCCACCAACCAAGTCTCTGTTTCCGGCCATGGTAACTGTGTCACGCCTCACACGACGGCAAGAAATGTCCAGTACAACCAGGGCCACGAAAGTTTGGCGGTGAAGGTCTTTCTAGAGTTGAATGACGGGGCATACTCGTGGTGCTGTACCTCTGGGTCTAGACTGCTTGTGCTCCTGGGATGTCTTGATACGTGGCATAAAGCTTGTGAGATGAAGGCACGCGGTAACGTATCCGCAAACTCCAGATTTGGTCCGATGGTGGCCTCTCCGTGCACGGAGGCCCCAGGACAACCTTCCGGAGTATATAGTCTGACCTTGCTAATAGCTTTGAGAATTAGTTATTGACTCTCGCTTTTAGCAGAGACAAACCAAAAGTCTCTCGCCGTATGTTCAGTACCGAACGCGCCCAACTCTACGTTGGTGTGATGGTACCCCGGCTAATACGTGGACAAGCGGCTCTGCCAGGAGGCGTTATGGGTCGCTCTTGCGACGAATCTCAAAAAGAGTCTTGCTCTACACACTTGGCTGTGCATTGACTTGCCACGGCATCCTGCCTGTGAGGTCGACACTGGCCAGAGAAGAACGACCGGAGCGTGAGACAAAAGCACTTTTGCAAGCCCTGAATGTGGCTTCCCAAGCCCAAGAGACGCCACTGGCCTCAACCAATGGCCTGGAAAGCAGGTGGGATGGGCACGGACACTCAAGGGCCGTGGTTAGCCGGCCGCTGCGCGTGTCTGGCAACATGATAGCCGGCTGGCCCCCTTCTACAGATCGGAGACAGCCGCCTCATTTGACAAGAAAAACCCTTCATCTTGGGTGAGGCCTTTGGCGATCTATTCTTGCCGTGCAGTCGCCACGTAGGCACCACCGGTGTTTCTTATCAGCACGCAGGTGAGGAAAACTCGCAACTCTTGCCAAGAAATGTTGTTGGCGAGCCTCGGCCCCCCGAACGATCGCTGCCGGCGCCAGGTCCTCTGCAGGGGCAGTGGCTCGATTTCTGCGCCTGACAGCTGTTCATGTTATGCATCACGAGGCCCTGATGTGCGGGGCGCCAGTTGAGGCCCCAGTCGAGCCCATCCTTAACTAGTAGTAGTGGTTGGGGGTGCCGGACGGCATAATATACCTCTGACCTTACCCCCGCATGCTCTGCGATTCTCCCATTCCTCTCCCCCATGCTGTCTTCGCTGTGCCAATTGAGTAATTCATAATCGCCTTCAAATTGCTTTCTTGTTTTCATGGCCGAAAAACCGGGAGACTGTGACCAGACGGCCAAAACAGCTGATACGAAACAGCCAAGCGGTATCAAAAGGGTCAGGCAGGCATGCTCGAATTGCAGGTAGGCACCCGACCATCCCGGCTCCCATCTGGTGTGAAGGTATTCCGTTCCTAACCTCGCAATAGGCGCAAAAAAGTCCGCTGCTCGGGTGAAAGACCTTCGTGCTCCTTCTGTGTGCGCCTCAACCAACACTGCGACTATCTGCGAGAGAATGTTTGGGATGAGGGAGATCCAAACTCACAGGCTCATGTATGCACAAGCGGTGTAAATGTACAGACCCATCACGTGTGCTTTTTGTCCTTTCTAAAGTCGATACTAACACGTATCGGATACAAGGAAGATTTGCTCGCGCGCGTGTCGTCCCTAGAAGCAAAGTTGACGCAACTGAACCAGTTGAATGCGCAAGTTTTTTACCGACCCGCCGCTAGCTGCATCAACAGCTGACTGATTTTGATGGGCAGGTTTATGCCTACACTTGTTCAGGCTCTCGGACAGCCCAATGCGCTGAGGCGTCCGTCGTGGGAACCCCCGGCCGAGACCTGGAGCGACAGATCCCACAACTCACGTTCAATGGGAAGCACGAGCCCTAAGTCACTGCTACAGTCGTAAGAGACTTCCCGCCTTGTTGTTCGCGTCGAGGACCCGACTCGCTAACTTCTTCCTACAGGACTTTCCATGATCTGCCGCCGGCATCCGTAATTGAAAGTGCTTGCGACACTTTCTTTCAGTATTGCCACAACCAACCCTACACATTTTTCCACGAGGGCAGGTTCCGGCAACGTCTACAAGAGAGGACGTGGCCTGATTACCTGATCTTTGCTTTCTTATCTTTGGCAATTCGATATTCCAATGACCCATGGTTCGAGGGGAACCACGCCCAGGCTCAGGATGAGTATGCCTCGAGGTCGTGGCAACTAATTGTCACATCTGGGTGTGCGGTGGAAGAGGGTGCAGACACGGCGGTTGTGCAGGCAATCTCACTTCTCGCCGTCGTCGATTCAACCGGTCAGAATCTCTTCATCGCCTTGCTTCCACAGCCCACTAACCGTTGGCAGCTGGTCGGAGGCGCGCTGCGTGGGTCAAGATTGGACTGAGTATACGGCTCAGTCAAGATCTTCATCTCATGATGGAGCCCGATCCGACACTACCCATCATTGAACAGGAGGAGCGCCGGCGACTCTTCTGGTCCATCTACCTTCTTGATCGTTTTGTTTCATGCTCCAAACAACGACCTCCCGTCATCCTGGACCCGGATTGTCAAGTCCAACTCCCTTGTGATGAGCTAGATTTTCGACAAGGCATCGCATGTAAAACGAACACTCTGACGAATCTCGGCACCGGTGCCGGAGATGGTCCTTCGACCTACCGCCCCGGCCAGTTTGCCCTCCTGGTGTTGATGGTCTGCGTGCTAGGCCGATGTGCAAGGTACATCCTCGACAATCGGCATTCGACTGGCGAGCGTGCTCCTTTCCATCCACAATCGGATTATGTGACAATGTCTTCGGTGCTACTCTATTATGAATCATTCATCGACAGTGGCAGTGAGATGCAGGAGATCATTCGCGTTTCAATGCTCAAGCCAGACGGCTCGGTCGATCAACAGTTGGCTGGTCACATGGTATTGGTCAGAGTGCTTTTTCACCTCTGCAGCTGCTTGCTAAATCATCCTTTCCTCCTGCGAGAACGTGTGATTGCAACTCAAGCAAAGACACCCACCCCTTGGCTAGCACGATCGTTGGAAACGGGTCTCGAACACGCTGGGCGCTTGACAAAAGCTTACCGTGATGCGAAGAATGCAGGATGCAAAGTGTCGGGTTCGTTCTACGGCTATTGCTTGTTGATTGCTGGCACCATTCACGCGTTGTACACGCATTGTCCGAACCCAGAGGTGCAGCAGGAAGCGATGGAGAATTTGGTTGCGGAAATCGGCTATCTGGATGAGATTGCGAGATTCTGGAAAAACTCGACCCTGATAGTGAGAGAACGAGTGATTGTACCAAGAGCTACTGCTAACCCGTGTTGCATAGGCAACGGGCCTCAGGGCCTTCTGGGCCCACAGCGCCAAGTTCAGCGACCTTCTCAATCCCCAACCCTTGCCTTACCCGTACAGTGGTTCTGATCTCCACATCCTTTGGACTTCTGTTGACTACGGCCTCATGTCAGGCCCAGACCGACCTTTGTCACAAAACGCGCTTGCAGAAAACTCTTCACCGCCTGCGTGGGGTCTGTCGCCCTGGAAAGACGAAAATGAATTTGATGGATCCATGGCGGCCCCAGATTACGGGTTGTTGTTGAATAACTTCGAGAATGGGTGCAACACTACCAATGAGACCTCCAACAGAGCTTCAGCGCATCAAACGTCTGTTAACAGTGCACCGTTCTTCCTGCTCAATGATGGCATATTGGACCAGTCTCGGCCCGACACCGATTTCGCCGTGACAAACTCCAACTTGTTCAATGCCAACAACGATCAACCATTTCGGACTGGCTTGACACGGACACATTCAATCACATGAGCCTACTGAATCGTCCGTCGCTAGAGGCTGTGCCGATATATAGAATGTGGATAGTCTACCGCGACCGAAAGACTCTCGCAGCTAGGGACGTTTCTTTGCAATGACTTTCAGAACATCTAAATAAAGGTCAACGTCCTTGCAGGCGTTCAGGAGGTCGTGCAATATGTCTCCCAGACACAAAAACCTAGAATGATTTTGGCGTTAGAAAGTCTCCTGGACTTTCAATTTGCGTTGTGCAACCCTCTTTTCCTCCTCCTCACTCAGCACAAACGAGTAGAATTTCTTCTCCAGCCCCTCCGGGGTGATGTAGGGGCTCAAATCTCCGCCCTCGGTCATTTGATTTTTTGTGAATCCCAAGCCCATAAGCGCCCACATGTTTTGCCGGTTCTGATATATGAGGTCATAGTCTTCGAATCGAGGCACGCTAGTCATCTCGCAGTAGTGCAGCGAGCTCCCCGGCCAGACCGCGTTCACTCGGCCCGTCTCATTGTTCTTGTACCAACTCCGACACGTAGTCTCAGCCCAGCATGTGCCTTGAATCCAGGTCTGTGCGTGCTCGTTAAATGCGTCCGTGACATCTTGTTTGGGGACAAGTGAGTGCAGGTGATCCCTCTGCATCTTCTGGATCACCTGGACAATGTAGTATCCTACAGACTGTAAAGGACCCATCACCGAGCCATTGGACACGGGAAAGGTAGGGCCTTGAAAAACAAAATAGTTTGGCATGTCAGGTACAGCTAGACCAAGATAGCCTTCGGGAATGGTTTTCCACTTCTCTTGGAGTGAAATATTGTTGCGCCCGACCACTGAAAATTTGGGCTTGTAGCTGACATCGAACCCCGTTGCGCAGATGATGGTATCCACCTCAATCTCGGTCCCATTGGCACCTACGACACTGTTGGGTGTGACCCTTGTTACAGCGCATCGATGGAGTTTGACATTTAACTCCTGGATGGCTTTCATGTAGGGGTTGCCGGGGGTGAGGCGGCGGCAGCCGGGGGAGAAGCCAGGAAGGAGCTGCTCGAAAATCTCATCTCGATAAAGATGTTCGCGCATCCGTTTTGTGAAATAGTTTCTGACTAACTTGGACTCGGCGCTGGACGTCATCATGGCCTTGAGGCCCAGAGCGGAATTGAGCTTGCCCTCAATATCCTTGGCTTGCTTGATCAAAGCTTCATTGTCATTCTTGAACCGCTCTCTTTCGTCAGCAGTGTCTATGTCAGAGTCAGTCTGGGGGCTCGTGGAGAACAATCGGGTACAACCAACAGTCAAAGTTGTCTCCTGAGTGATCGGCAATCTCTGCAAACCAGACCGGAGTCCGCACGAAAACGTCCATCGATTTGACGTGTGGCTGCAGTGTAGGAACAACCTGGATACTTGTAGCCCCGGAGCCGATGACAGCCACCCGTTCGTGTTTCCATTGCGATGCGCCATATTCGTCTGGCCATCTCGCAGTGTGCACTAGCTTGCCTTTGAACGTGTCCAGACCCTCGACATCATCGGGAAGCTTCCAAGCGTTGAGCAGACCGTTTGCGGACACCAGGATATCACAAGTCTCTTCAATCGTCTCGTTTCTGCCGTAATCATGAATGGTCACATGCCATTTCCCTTCTCCTTCATCCCACTTCGCCGCACGGATTGCGTGATTGAACTTCATGTACTTGCGCAGCGCGAAGCACTCGACGACTCTGGTCAAGTACCGGAAGATATCATCTGACGAACTCAGATATTTTGGCCAGTCCGCATTGAGCGCGAAAGCGTACGTGTAGGCGTGTGATGGCACGTCACAAGCACAACCTGGATACCGGTTCTGCGAGTGGGTTTTCAGCTGGCTGTGGATGGGTTCCATCGCTCATGGTCCTTACCTCAAGCCAAGTGCCACCAATATCGCCATTCTTTTCGTATATCACGTGTTCCACATTTTTGCAGTGTTTTGCCAACAGATAAGCCATGAGGATCCCGCTCACGCCAGCACCGATCGTCAATACCTTGACTTTGCGGTGCTGAGGATCATTGAGGACATAGTCTGGTATCGTGTAGCCATCTTTGCTATGGCCAAGTCGATAACCATACTTGCCTCCGGGGTCATTGTCGTCGATTTGGCCATTCGCGGTAGCATCAGCACCATTGACCTCGTTGCCGGCCTTGTTGATGTCGAAAACCATGATTATAACTCGACAAATTGAAGGTGGAGAAAAGGCATTGCAATATGGACAGATGAAGGTGACGAAAATTAAACACGACAAGAAAGTGAAATGAGCAGACTTGATCGGGCCCGGCATTTTCGGTTGTGCCGCTTGCGGACGGTATCGGCACAGCAAAGAATGTCAGTCAACTCAGGAATACTGCTCACGAACGAGTCAGCACGGCTGGTCGTCCGTGTCGTGGAGGCACCCCCGACTCTTGATTCCCTCTGGAAAGGAGAGAATAAGTTGCCATGCTAGGACTGACGACCAGACTTCTATCCCCATCTTCTGACCATCCCCTGCCTACGGGTTTTGATCTTCTTATCCTCAGGGAGCGACCTGAGGTATAGAACGGCACGTAAGTTGGGAACGTCACCAGTGGCTGAGCTGCATGAGTCTGAAGGCTGTTGCATCGGTTTTGGCTAGTACATTGTTTTTGACTATATTTTCTTAAGCGATACATCATGCTGCAGCGCCGCCATCTACAGGCACAATGGCACCCGTTATAAAGGATGCTTCGTCACTCAGGAGGAATACAATCAGATTGGCAACTTCCTGCGCTTGACCTTTCCTCTGCAACGGCAAACTCGAATATGTGTTGGTGGTCTGACTGGAAGTAGAAGAGGGCGCTCCGGCGAGTAAACTGTCGAGCATGGGTGTTTCAATGGGACCCCTGGCAGATAGGTCAGCGTCATAGTGAAACGAGAGAAGAAAACAAGCTCACGGGGCGATAGCATTGACCCTGATGCCCTTAGCTCCGACCTCCTTGGCTACCGTTTTGGTCAATCCAACTATACCATGCTTGGAGCAAACGTATGCTCCCAAACCCGGTCTACCGGAGATACCCGATAAGGACGACGCGTTGACGATACTCGCTCCCTTCGTCATGACGCGAATTTATGCTCTTACGCAATACATGAGACCGGTCAGATTGATGGCAATCATCTTGTCCCATGTCTCATTCTTCAAGTCTGCAATATTGGTAAATCCAAGCTCGATGCCCGCAATGTTTGCAGCGGCATCCAGGCCGCCGAACTGTTTCACCGTTGATGCAATCCAGTTGTCCACTGCATCACTACTTGAAACATCCACTTTCGTTCCCACCACTTCAACACCTTGACTCTGGAGTTCACTGACAACCTTTTTCAAGGCGTCTTCTTGGAGATCTGCCAATGCCAGTCTCGCCCCTCTTTCGGCGAGCAGTTTTGTGACGGCAAGGGCGATGCCAGATGCGGCGCCAGTAACAGCAACGGTTTTCCCCTTCAGTGACATCATCCGAGCGGGCGCACTGTGGTGATTAGACTGCAGACAGAACTATCCTCTTGAGACCAAGTCTGCTAATTATACAGGATGGTTGAAGACGGACCGATACCGACTAGTTCGGCTACACAAGGATCGCCTGCCGAAGCGGAATTTTTGAACCGTGATCGCTAACTCCGCAGTAGAGTACGTAGCCAATAACAATCCATCATGGTTGGCATTTATTCCTAGATTATGTAACGCTCTGTGGACTGGACCGTGAAGCAGGCCAAAAAGGCATCCTATTCATTTCATTGAAAACCGATTGGAGGAAAGTTTCATCCAACCACATGAACTAAGCAATTATACACCCGGGCCATCGTTTCTGTGATTGATACCAAAAGATCCGGAGTTGTTACGGTGGCCCCAACATCACTTGCACGAGGGAATAATGGAAGTTCTCGATTCTTGAGGCTGTGCCGAAGAAACTGTGCAGGAGTAGATTTTCGGGATCGATGGCGATATGAACGATGTCCAACCTGGAAGCTGCTTGAAGCAATTACCCTCTGATAGCCGAGGGCGAGAGATAATGGTGCTATCTCCTGGGAGCTCAATACTACTAAAGGGATGGACCGCTTCGCAAAGGACGGGCTGCGTTCCTACGTCACGTAACTCGCCGACTTTACACCCATCAGAATATTGTGTCAGCTAGGACCAGAGAGGAAAGAATTGAGGCTCGCTGCAAGAGATAAATGGAGCTCGCTCTAGCCGGCAATGAAATAGCCGTTAATCTGGCTAATCACCATCTACTAATCACGTGATGCCAGCCTTGTTGCCCCACGTGTACGTTGTGGAAAGCAATTCAGCTCTGGTCGACTGCTTCGCGTCATGCTTCTCCAGGGCGGAAATCACTCATCTTAGGAGAGTGCTGTATATCGACGTGATGCGTAGCCTAGAAGACGGCAAGAGCATTTGGGGGTGATCCAACACCTCCCTTCACGTTCAGCGGTGCGCTTGTCACGAAAAATGTCCAGCGCCCCAGGGCTTTGCACTTTTCTGCCAGACGTTCCAGGTCCCATAACTCTCCTATAGGCATTCCCCACCATACCAAACAGTAGTCGTGCAGGGCTCCCCAGAGTCAGTCAGACCTCTCAAGATCCCATTTCCACTTACCATATTCTTTCGCAAATGGCTGGGCTTCAAACGCCACTGCATCTCCTGTCACAGCTGCAAGGTGGTTATTCCACAGCCACTGGACCATCTCCTCTGAAGCTTCTACCCCGATCGTATGGGACGATCTCATCAGGGAGTTCTTTGCGCCGTTATTTTTGCACTCATTATAGGCTTGTATAAGCCCTGTACGGACCATCAGGATGTCGCCTCTCTTGAGCACAACGTTCTCCTCCGTTAGGATCTGCTTGATCACATCGAGAGTAATGACTTGTCTGGTGGCAGGGTTGACCTCTACTCCATTTAGTGCGGCCCAAGATGCAAAATCAACGAGCACGCCACGGCCGATGATGCCACCTCGCTCGCTCCAGTCTCTGTTGTCAGCCAATCTTCCAAGCCTGGCATGATTGTAACGTACAATGAATGCTTGCGTCGTCGCTTGCTATTATTTCATCATGCTTCCAGCCGTTGTAGTGCTGCCGAGAAGAAGCATGAGCCCAGTGCCCTTGATAATCAGTCGCACGCCAGAAATGGTCACCTGGTTAGTGACTCACTCAAGCCATCCCATTGCGAACTGGACTGCGTATTGAACGATAAAACGTCGTCAAAACAACAAATTGGCATGTTGTACTCCTTGCCGACGTTTTTGATAGTATGCTGGAACTTCTCTCGATAAAAGGGCTGAGGAGGGTTTTCAAGGCCCCAACTGGTGGGACATCAGAATGCGCGGGGCAATTTTGCTCGCAGTAGGAGCAAACTTACTTCAGAGCAACACTCTCACCTCTCTTGATCTCTGTCGACGCGTCGAGCACTATCTCTGGAGTCAAAAGATTGAGCGTGCCCACTTGATCTTTCACTCCATTCTTGTCAAAGAGCCCCTGAATCCGGAATCAGCATCAACAAATCATTCATAGCTCAGAGACAATCACCCATGCACAGCCTCTTGGCGCCCCAGGAATGGGTGGGAGCTGATCGAATTTGGGTATAGAATTATGAGCCATTGTGTCCTACTCCTTGATCCTTGATGCCTGATGTTGGAAATCTTATTCGACCCTAACGCGCAAGGCTTGAAATACTCTCTCAGGAGTATGAAGGATAGTGGTCCCTACCTTATTGCCAAGATAATTTCCAAAGCCCAATGAGCGGCCTGCCCGGATTCTGCCTTGGGAGGTGATGTCTTCGGCAAACCTTTGCCGGCACAGGCGCGCAGGACAATGCACGGAACGACGTCCGCGACTCACAAAGTTGTGTGATGATCTACACCCCACTGGATGCTCCCACGGGCTCGGAAAAAGCAAGCCGCAGCAAGAGGCAAAAAAGGAAACCATTAATCGTCAACAAACTATTAGATATTGTTGACGGTTACAGCAACTTCACTGTCTTGATCCTTCACCATCCCTGAACATTCCAGCACTCGATAACTTTCCTATCAGGAGAAGATGGCGGTCCAGAGCAAGATCAATATAAAACCCCTTCATCCGACCTTTGCAGCCGAGGTTTCAGGCATCGACTTCACCAAGCCTGTTCCACCAGAGATCATCGAGCAGGTTCAAGCAGCAATCGACGAGTATGGCGTGCTGGTCTTTCGCAAGGCCAACCTAGACGATGACGCGCATGTTGCCTTTTCGTCACAATTCGGCGAACTTGAGCCAACCCCAGCTGCCAGCCTAGGAGTCAAGACAAGACTTCCAAGCCCTTATGTGGGAGATTTGGCCAACGTCGACCATAATGGCAACCTGAAGCTATACGAAGACCAGCTGTCTCGCCTCTTTGCCAAAGGAAATGAGACGTGGCACGCAGACATGCAATACCATCCAAGACGTTGCAAGTATTCCACATTGCGCGCAGTAAAGCTCCCACCCAGAGGCACCGGGGGCGAAACCCAATACTCGGACTCTCGAGCAGCTTATGACGACCTCAGCCCGGAAATGAAAAAGAAGCTCGACGGCTTGGTCGCTTACTGTTCACTTCTTCACAATAGAAGAGTGGCAGCGCCGGAACTTTACAAGGGCGTTGATGTCATGGACTGGCCCAATGCCAAATGGAAGCTGGTCTACCCACAAGGGCGCACAGGACGCATGAATTTATACGTCACGAGCTACATGCACAAGATTGAGGGGATGTCACAGGAAGAAAGTGACGAGCTGCTCGCAGAGCTCAGAAAACACGCCGCCCAGGAGAAATATGTGCACACGGTGTACTGGGAAGATGACGGCGATATGGTAATGTGGGACAACATAGCCGTCCTGCACAGAGCGACAGATGGATCGGGATACATCGGCAAACACATCCGAGATGTTCGGCGTACGAGTGCATTTGACAGTGGTCCAGATGCCTGGGGCGAGAACGACCCAAGGAATCCCTGGATCATCAAATTACCCAAAGACCCATTCGCCGCCCCGGCGGCCGCGTGAGTCCGACAAATGGACCGACCGATCTTCCATAGCTTTTACTCAAAAATATATTGATAGTTTGTACTCCGCACACTGAGCGTCCGGAAGCCTCACATTCAATGCTCGCGACTAGGTTTCAGGGAAGATTTGTTACCCTGGTGGAACTGAGCTATAGGTCTCAACCCATTGGCTCTCTGAAGAACTCGTGCGTCCTTGGGCTGCTTCGGCCACGTTCAGACGACTGACCTGGGATCTTCGATGAGGACAAACACATATAGAGTACCTAAACTACTGACATGAAAATAGAAAGCAATATTTTCCTTCGAATCTCCATCCACCACCTTTGCTGGCTGACAGGGTATCTGAGCTTGATCATGGAGGTTGCCGAATCAAACCTCCTTACCGGCAAAAAAAGGGCTTTTCGGCGTGGAAGATCTGCCACTCTGGTGGCTATGGTGTAACTGACATAGACACCAAACGCTGAAATTCACGACTCCCTCGGGCTCCGGTAGCGCTTCACCACCAATCCCCGGCTTTGAGATATAGGAAGCTAACAATTTGAGGTCTAGACCTGCCAGACCCACCAGCTCCAGGTCTCGACGCGGGGGAAGCGTCGGTTAGCATTGTCTCTCCACGGGGAACACAGCCGAAAGCTGCACATGGCTGGGCGCTACAAAACCCCATATCGTCTTACTTTTCATGCACGATCACATTCGATTTCTCCTCCGTGACCCGTGGCCCATCACTCTGCTGGTCAATTTTTGGTTCCAAATCGGATTCTTGAAGAGATAAGAATGGCTACATCAACAGACGGAAAAGCGAACGAGGTGATGTTGGAGAAAACACCACCGGTACCTGGCCATGCCGGTGTAGTGAGACCAGAAGAACCTGCCCCAGCAGAGTACATCAACGGTGTACCTTACTGGCGCACCCCTCTCTTCCTGGGCTCCTTTTGGGCCATTGGGTTTGGCGTGTTGGCTTGCTATGCCGGGTTTGCCATGCCTGCCAACACTTTGGCTCTCATCGATGCCGATATCGGTGAGTCTCGATGTCTTTTCCCTGCCTGTCGTGGCTAACCGTGAGACAAGGTCCCAGTGCTAATATCAACTGGGTCGCTCTTGTGTGGACTTTGACCGTTGCTGTTGGCTACACACTCGTCGGTAGACTCAGTGATATTTTTGGCCGACGATACTTCTTCATTGGCGGTGCTACCCTGGGCCTCATTGGGAGCATTGTAGCTGCAACCGCGAAGAGCGTGGATGCTCTGATCGGGGCAACCGTTCTCCTTGGCCTCGCCGCTTCCTCCCAGATCTCGTTTACCTACGTTGTAGGCGAGCTCGTCCCAGTCAGGCACCGATTCATCATCAACGGTCTGATTAACGCGGTCAATATTCCTGTCGGTGTTTTTGGGCCCGTTGTCGCACGGTCCTTTATTTTATACACCGCAGCAGGATGGCGATGGAACTATTACCTCACCATCATCTTGAGTACACAGAACCGATGCCATTATCTTTATGATACTTACAAAGCTATAGACGCATTATCCCTCATTCTTTGGGCCCTGTTCTACTATCCACCAGATTTTGTTCGCCTTCATCGTGTTCGTTCACGCTGGCAAGAGATTAAGAGCATCGATTACGTTGGGATCGTCCTTTTCACTGGAGGGCTGCTGCTCTTACTGATGGGTCTTTCGTGGGGAGGAGGTCAATATCCATGGAAATCTGGGCATGTCATCGGTTGCATTGTCACAGGATTTGTTGCTCTGGTGGCATTTGTCGTCTATGGTACGTCGTCTGCAAACGCGGTTGACAAGTTCACCCTAACTCCCTGCAGAGATGTACTCTGGGGTGTATCGCCCGTTGGTGCCGATGTACATTTTCCGTGATTACCAGTATAATGCCATTGTCGTCTTAACAACCGTCGGTGGCATGATTTATTACTCCATGACTGGCAAGGACACTGAACCCTCTGGAGATATTGTAGCTGACATCTGACAGTGATCTATCCAACTGCAATTTCCGTTCTGTACGCGACGGATGCAATGACAATTGGTTGGCTGTCCTGCGCTGTCGGTGGTGGGACGCTAGCTGGCCAGGTTATTGGCGGTTTGATTGCCATCCGCATTGGCTTCATCAAATATCAAATGGTATTTGCGGCCACTCTTATGGCTGTTTTCATCGGTGCTTTGGCTGCTCAGACCAAGGATACAAGAGCGTGAGTCGTCGACTCTCTCAGTACTCCCATGTGTACACTGACCATGTACAGATTGTCCACTGCATTTGCCACTCTTGGCTGTTTCGGCCTGGGCTATGTTGAGATTCTCGCAGCTACAGCAGCTACCTTCGTTATCAGGAACCAGAAACAGATGGGAACCCCGAACGGTATCTTTGGGAGCATCAGAAGTGCCGGCGGGGTCCTGGCAACTACCATCTATCTGACAATTCTCACTAATCGAATGACCACCAACACCGCGAATATAATCGCTCCAGCTGTGCTCAAGGCTGGGCTCCCCAAGTCTTCACTCGCAGAGTTCCTGACTGCTCTGAGTAGCGGTGTAGTCTCCAAGATGGAGGCTGTACCGGGCGTAACACAGGCCATCATCCTTACTGGCTCAGAAGCAGAAGTAGCTGCCTACACGGACGCATTCCAAAAGGTTTTCCTCGCTAGCATCGCCTTTGGCAGCCTTTCGGTAATTGCTGCTCTCGCCCTGAAGCCGTTCTCCAAGGAGGAACTCGCCGGTACCATCATATTTCATTTGGGTGAGACAAAGGTACACCATGGAGGGGACAGCGGTGTGGAAACGCAAGAGGAAACAGGTGCGCCCCTCGATTAAGATTGGGCAGACTTGAGATACTTGGAATGACCAATCTGCATACTTGTAAATAGAGCATCCCAAGGGTCGAGTCGCAGGGAATCCCTTCTGATCAGACCGAGATCTCGAGAGCCTGACTGTAGCAGTGTCTGTCACAATGACTTCAACAACCTCTGAGTTGCACTCCACCCCTCATCTTACCCTTGAATTCGCACTTGGGGCTTCAGAAAGGCCTATAGCGTTTCGGGGTGACAAGCGTTTGGTTTAACTTGACAACGTAGATGCTGTCTACGCAGAACAATTATATATACACGAGCGAGACCTCGGAGAAGATCATGTACGAAAACGCAATTGAGACAGCACGAATATTCGAGTTGTGTCGGCGACCCCTTGAAGAACGAGGCTACGCCCTTCTCATGCTCGATATAATCTTTATTGCTGCAAGCACTTTGATCACTAGCATGGTGTCGCCTCGTTGCGATCGAGCTAGAGCGCTCAAAGACTATAAGTGGCTTGTGTGCTTCCTTGAAACCAGCGAGGGCCTTCAAGATCAGTATCCGGTGGTGAAGCGCATGGTGGAAGCGCTGGAGTCATTGCTCGTAAGCAGCGGTCTCTCTAAATTCATATGGAGAGGTATCCCGATTGCGACAGGGACCACCGATGCTGCAGTTCCAAGCTTCAATCAGGCATCGCTCTTCTCAGTTAGCTACCCTGCAAAAGCAGTACCGTTCAGGCTCAGTGAATAACACTAGGCGTCCTGAGGACGCTTCTCTGAGGAGGAGCAGCTGAAGTATCACGAAGATCTAATCATATATTATAAACCAGAACGTACTAATCATAGCGGCGCGAGGAGAATTGGTTTGGCGGACTAAAATTGAAGGGGAAACTGATTGCTATATATGCCGAAGACCACTTGAGCAAAAGAGCAGCCGAAGTGAAGTATATTGAAATACTAAACACTAGAACTAATCACACTCAGCTTGCGGCCTAATTATGAACAGCCTGTAAAATCAATAATAAGGCAAGGATAACCAAGCGAATATAGCCTCGCTAGAAGGTAAGTCTATAAGACATACAGTATGATGTACTTTGGGTGGTTGGGAGTGATTAGTCTAGTCAGAGACCAGGCACACTGATATTCGGCTACTACCTTCCCTTGAGAGACACGCAAACTCAGCCGCCAGAAGGCTGCCCTTAGTACCCGGATGTCTCGAGTAGATTCTGGGAGAACAGGACGGAGGTTTCAGGATGGCACCAAGCCTCGGATTTGGCTTGTGAGATGGGTGTCCAGAAAAGTCATCGTACATCCTTTTTTCGCATCGACACCCTTGATTACAAATTTTGAATCGCTCGATAGTGTTCTGCAAGCTGGCAGTATCAATGTGCATTTGCTGCGCCAGGCCATTAAAACTCTCATCCATGTGTGTAAACCTGCACTCAATGACCCATTTCCGTCGAGCGCTGCCCGAAGCGGGCAAGCCTAGAATTCTTACGATGCCTTGTATCGAGATTAGTCGACGAGGGTATAGCAGTAAACGCTAGGGAGACTTTGTCGCCCTCAAGATTAAGCCGTTTTACAGTATAGCGGAGTGTAACGAGCATGATAGCTTTCATCTATGTCTAAAATTCTCAAACCTTGGAGATTTACTAGATACTCAGTGGACTGTTGAAAGACCGTTTCGAGTTTTGAAAAAGGTGATGGTCTAGATTCTACCTCTCTCCAGGAATCTTGTTGGGATATCCACAGTGTACGCCCTCACATATTCTCCAACATTTTTACCAAGAGAGTCAAGGCTAGTTGTAGAAGAGAAACCCCGCTCCAAGTGATTGTGCAGTAAGAAATGCACCGTTCGAAGGTGTGGCATCTCGAATCTATCATCTGGCCTCCCTTATATTCAGCCCGAAGCATTTGCTTAAATCTGTCGGTGGTGAGTAGACTCCGAAGCCAGTCCCATTCATCGTCATGGCGCACGAACAGTCCAACGTTGGCGTCCGTAGCCTTGTCGCCACTCCGAGCCATTACCACATACCCGAATGGAGCTCGTATAGTTTCATACTGGGATAGATCAACCGGGTTCGTTGTTTCGTATGACCTCTGTTGGAGTGGGTATGTGCAAGTCTTCTCAGCGGCGAGCACGTCAATACTCTTGCATTCATCATACAGTAAATGAACTCTCTGATTGAGTTCTGATTGTGGGAACAGGGTGACAAAGAATTCTTCGTATTTTTTTGGGAATACCAGCCTCCCATCATTGCTTATTGAAGCACCCTACGCATCGCGGTTAGAGTGAAGGTGACAAGGTAGAGCATCCCCTGACAGATACTCACCGGTGCGCTTTCTAAAATTAATGATCGAACTTTTCGCCCAAAGCTGTGCGGATTCTGCATATCAAACAGATCAAAGTCGCGCCCTTGGGCAACGATTCGCAAGCCGACTGTTGCTGCATCTTGATTTGGTGCATCGATCGGAGACGATCCGTGCAAATGAAACTTTAGATGTGAAAGTCGGTTGACGGATTCACCTAAGGTTTCTCGGACATGGTCCTCGGTCCAGCGAGCCTTTTCCTGAATATCAAGGCCAACAAAGTAAAAGGTGTACTCCGCTTGATAACCCCCATGTGCAGTAATTCTAGAGAAAATCAGCTGTTAGGATCACGGCATCACATAGCAATTTCACTACATACCCGACTTTGGTTGTGGACGGTGGCAGCCGACCTGTTTTAGCACAGTTAACCTCCATTGTGCTCGGATGGTTCGTACAAGCGCGTGGCGGGAGTGCGGATACTCTTACCTTTGACCCTGGAAATATGGACACGGTCTTCTCCCAACGCTTCTATCCGTACATCTTCGAGGTCAGCAGTCACGTCCGAGTTGTAGTAAAGAGGACCTTGGATCTCGTATACAAGCTGGGAAATTGTATTTCCCACGTCCACCACTCCTCCGGTGCTCTTCTCTTTAGTGAGTATACTTTCCCCCTTGTGATCGATTTCAACGACCGGGAAGCCTATGTCAAAGTGCTTGTTGTTCTTCAAGAGTTTCTTGAAATTGCAATAGTTTCCCCCAGTGACATAGCCTCCACATTCGATCAGATCTGTGCTCGTGCTCAGTAAGCACATCAAGTTATGCGAGTTTGAAATGTAACGTACGACCCGCAACGAGCGCACCAGCCAACTCGTCCAGATGACTATGGTTCCAGTTATGCCACCAACTGCATGACTATCAGACTTGTTGACCTTCTGCGCAGAAGGTGGGAACTGCTGAGGGCAGGGGAGACATACGCAGCAGCTCCAATTGTTGGAGCAGCATCAGCAACTCGGCCGCATATAACTATATCGGCACCATTGCGAAAAGCTTCCGCGATTCCCAGCCCCCCCAAATATGCCTGTGCGGCGACTGGCTCAAATCCCCATTCTTTCAGACTGATGTCTTTGCCTCGGTTGAGACTCCTGAGCTCTTTTCCTTCAGTAGAGAGCTCTACAAGCTTTTTGAAAACATCATCTCCTTCTATCCATGCCACGTTCATGGGGCAGCCTCGATCAATGCATTCTTGTTTGATAATGTGAGCTAGGATCTCCGTATCAGAGCCACCAGCATTCACTGCGAGCTTGATGCCGTTTCGTTTGAGGTCTCCAATCGCCGGTATGAAGCAGTCGAGAAAGTTGGGGGCAAACTGAGGCCCACTGGCTGCCTGAGTAAACAAGCCGCTTTGCTTTGCATTCATCTGTAGCTGCTGAACTCGGTGAGTCTTTGCAACACCTTGCGCGCCATCGTTGCTTCGGCCATCCAGTCCCCAACAATGACGTCGACCTCTCCGGTCTTGGCCATCCTTGACATGGCGAACTCGGTCAGTCAGAGCACCCGAAGCGCCACCAATGCGAATGGCGCTTCGGTAAGTTTTCTCTGCAGACATTGTGGTCAGTTCCTCCTACAAGGAATCAAAGTTCGCGTAGAGAAAGTTGCGTCCAAGGCTCTTTCATTGTAGGTCAACAATGTTTGCGACAGTTCTTATACTCTGTCAGAGTCTACGGGGGAAAGTCTGACGGAGGAAGCGTCCTCCAACCACAACACGCATCTCCCGCACACTCGAGGCAAGCTCACACTTTTCGCCCTGGAGATACGTCTCCGAATCTCCCCATGGCAGATCATAATACTTCAAGTGTGTTCCCACCAAGAGAACCGCACAAAGGCAGGTATTCAGTTCGCATTTGGTAATGGTGCTGGAGGCCAAGGCTACGGGTCTTTTCGTTGGCCCCAGTGGCCTCGGGGCCTCGGGGCCACGGAAAAGCGACCTGCCAGACATCACACGGGAATTGCGGTAGTCCGGCTGTCGGCTCTGTGTCATGGGAAACGGGTCAAAACCCGGCTCAGGAACCCACAACCATGCCTTACCAAGCCGGCCTCGATATGAGGATTTGTTGGTTTTCCCAAGGTCTAGTAAAAGATCATCACCACTGCTCAGATATGACAGACATACCAAAAGCGCGAAAAGCGCGAAAAGTGCGGGACACAAGTCTCCTTGCCTGTTCTCTTTGTCGCAAGAAGAAGGTCAAGGTATGCTTCTACATGAAAAGCATTGTGTGATTGGTCGCAACTATGCCCGAGTTGATATTTTCTCGCTGTCCAGTGCGACAACCAAACCCCCCAGTGCTCTACCTGCCAAGCCAATAGTGCCACATGCGTTTATGGCGAGGACAAACGGAGGTGAGTGAATCGTTGATCAAGTTGATTTCTGGGTCCATAGTAACCTCGTACCTTCATCTTGTATAGACGATCAGCGACCGCAAAGTCGCTGAGTGTCCTATCAACCAAGTTGACGGAGATCGAGGCCCGCTTGGCCCAAAGTGAGCCACAAGGTGCATTGCAGACTAAGCAAGTCTCCTCTGCACGTCTTAGCCCACATATTCATTTTCTAGACACCCCCAACAACGACATTTGGATACAAATAGAACCTGATGAAAGACCCGTTGAGCAAGCAGCACAATCAGCCAGGGTCCCGAGCACACTTGATATACATGACGGCGCCTTCGACTCGCTTGATTTCGATCCTGAGAAACACTTGACCGATGATGACTGTTTCTTCAGTCGAGACCCTGGAATTAGCTCGTACCAATGTGTCACCAGGTCTCTCTCGAAAGAACGCCATTGGACCACTGAAAATGAAAGACTGAGGTCGCAGCAACAAGTGGACACTTTACAAGATGAAGACTTGCATGAATTCTCGAACCCATTTGGGCGGATGCGACTTACGGAGAGTGGCCACCTTCGCTATTTTGGGACAACAAGCTTCCTCTCACTGCTTCCCAATGACCTGAGTTCACTATATGCGTCTTCGTTCCGAAATCTTCGGGAAGAGGGCGAAGCTGCTGCATCTGCTGCGAGCCTGCACTGGATACCCGATTATGACTATGAGCAACACTTGACGAATTTATATTTCTCCTGGCATGCACCCATATTCAACGCCATTGAAAAGGACATCTATGAGCAGGAGAGAGAGGCGTATAAAAGTGGTCATGACAGCTCGTTATTTTCTCCAGCCTTGGAGAATGCCATGTATGATATGAGCCCTTGTACTATCAGATAATATGTGGCAAGCTTACGCGCAGCAGCCTCGCCATGGGGGCTCTCTACACAGAACAACCACATTATTTGATTCAGAACGAACCATCAGAATTTTTCGCCGCCAGAACGCGCCTCCTTTTTGAGATGGAAATGGATTGTCCGACGATAGCAACTACCCAAGCGGCATATATTCTCTCGGCGCTAGAAGCCGCACAGGGACATCACTCTCGAGGTAAATAACAGGTTATGCTTGTGAAGAGACAGATTCGCTAATGTCCCGCTAGGATGGATATATTCAGGTGATCAAAATTTCATCATTCGAGCGCAGAATAACAAAGACTCATAACTGTGGACAGGCATCGCATTACAGATGGCTAGTGATTTAGGTCTCCATATCTCTATCTCAGCAAGAGGAACACGCACAGATGACCTGCATGATGAAGCGACGTTGAACCGTGTGAGAGACAGGGTGTTTTGGACCGTATATGCCTCGAACATGTAAGCCCCTACTGATTTGGATGATCATGTAACTTCTTTGAAGCTTCCACCGAGTGTACCCGAGGGTTGACTGGGCTCGCAAAACAGATACAACGCCATTATTAGCGGACGACCCTACTCAGCAAGTGCGCTGCTTAATAAAGCTCCGTCCATGAGCGTTCCGTGCCAGAGTACATGGGCACCGTTTCTTGATGACCACACCATCATGCCGATACCTTCTGAAGTCGACCCCAGAGCTGTCAATCTCGTAGGGCCTTGTGCTGTGCAATTGGCTCGGAAGCTTGAGAAGGTGCTTGAATCCCTGTAAGCGACTAATCCTCTACATTGAGCTGAATTGTTAACAGCTGTTTCAGATATTCTGGGAATTTCACGACGCTTGAGAAATCAGAGATTTTTCTTCTGAGCTTGGGAAAGAATCTTGAGAATTGGATCAAGGATCTGCCGGGACCATTGCAGTGGAGCTCTTCGAGCCTTGATCTGAGAAACAAGGCTGCTCCAGCGGTGCTGCAGCTATAGTACGTATGGAAGGCTTTCACACAGTTGAACAGGTCGCTAACTGGACGCGACTGAGCAGCATGCTCTATCATGAAGCACGTATTTTGTTGTTCCGACAGTTTCTAGGCAGTGATACCGGACCGAAACTGGGTGCAGATGAAGCCTGCACCAGTTCTGCCGTAGAGATATGCAAAATACTCAGAGTTTATCGACGAGACTATACCCTTCGTTACATAAACATTACAGCTGTCTCGGCCGTCATGGCAGCCGCGGTGGTACATGTCTACAATTCTTGCAAAAATTCTGGAGCCTCTGGCAAGGAAGCACAAGATAACCTCCTCATCTGTTTACAAGCACTGGGAGAAATGGGACGGGTGTTCACTACCAGCATCCAGGGGCTGGATGTTATTAGTTCTTTGAAGCGTCTGTGGCAAAAGCGACAATTTCAAGAGATCGGTTTGAAACGACGCGGCGATCCCTGTTTGCTGAAAGAGTGGCAACGGGTGGGATTTAGTAAGGCTGCGGAAACCCGACATGAAGCTTCTTGTCACAAATGGACTTAAGAGTTACAATCATCCAATAAACAGTTTTGACCTCGAGCCTATGTATCTCAGTTGAACTTCTTGCATCGGAGATTAACCGGTTCCTGCAAAATATACACAATCCAAGAGCTCCTTGCTGCCTCATTATATGAAATGCTGGTCGCAAAATTGATACTATCACTACCCAGAGTACTGTTCAGCTCCATTGGACGGGATGGAGTAATATTATATTCACAATTTCCGTCCAGCCGATTGTAGCGGGGAAGAATACGGGGAACGGAGACGGGGAAGGGAGATGACAAACCTCTCGGGCCAAGTGGCTATCGAGCAATTTCGTGTGTAAGAAGGCGGAAGGACCACGGCAAGATCCCGGTCATGATCTCCTTGTCCGGAGACGCGTCTCCGTACAGTTGGCGCTGCGGTGGATATTACCGTGGTTGTGCCTCCGCTTTCTTACTAGAGGTGTCCTTACTTTTGAAGAAAACACATAAACAGGTATATATTAACGAGAATATACTCGTCGCACCGAATCTTTGGCAAGTTTCCTGATATTACGCACTATTCGCAAAGTCTTACAGTATGGTGCAGTCTACTGAGATACAAGGCCGTCTGACGTCGAATATAACAGGCCAAGGCACTGTGGTACCACCTGTTGAGCCTGCCATCATAACAGCAAACACCTTCGACGCCAACAAAGATCATGAAGCATCGGCCGAAGAAATTGTCTACGAACAGACCCCCGAGGACATCGCCGCTCCAAAAGTCATTACGAAGGTCGTGAGACGAATTGACTTGCAACTTTTGCCGGTGCTGACCTTACTTCTCTCTGTGTGTTTCCTAGATCGAGGAAACATGGGGCTGGCAGCTGTTGCTGGCATGAGCAAAGAACTTGGATTTGTTGGATACCAATACTCGATCACTCTGCTCGCCTTTTTCCCGGGATATGTCTTGTGTGTCCTACCCAACAACTACTTGCTCGGCAGAGTTTCAATTCGTTACTGGCTGACCTTTGTCTCGATCGGATTCGGGCTATTCACCCTCGCATCCGGGTTGATTCACAGTTTCGAAGCACTGGCCGTGGTTCGCGCATTTCTGGGGTGTTTCGAGGCATGGTGAGGGCCAATTTAAGCTATTGACACACCTTCACAAAGCTGACTTTTGACACCAGTGCTGTTCCGACCATCGTGGTCGTGCTTAGTGCTTGGTACCCACGATACTATCTCGGGAAACGGATTCCTATAGTGTGGTGTGGTGCAACTTTCATTCAGTCCTTGGCCGGGATTCTCGCCTACGCTTTCTCTCGTGTCCATGCGGGCGGCTATGCAGGATGGCGCTGGATTTTTATTCTAGAATCTATCCTGACTGTCGTAGTCGTCGGTATCCTCTCTCTCGTCTTGGATGAGTATCCAAACAAGTCTAGAATGCTAAACGACGAGCAACGACGCGTTATAATGGCCTTGATCGCCAAGGACCGGGCCGAGAACGAAGAAGAAAAGGTGACAGCAAAAGCAATGCTCGTTTGTTTATTGGATTGGAAAGTATGGGCTTATGGTGCAATGTACATGTTCAGTACTGTGACAACCAACAGCACCAGCTATTTTGCGCCTCTGATTCTCAACCAGCGAATGGGGTTCAGTGGAGCGCTTAGCCAAGTGTTAACGACACCGCCCTACCTCTGGGCCTTCATTCTCGACACCACCCTTGGCTGGTTTTCCGATCATTATCGACTGAGGTCGCCATTCATCTGCTTCTTTAGCATCAACACAATCATAGGAGTTACCTTGCTCCGCTGGGGACCTCAGACTGCCTCGCAGTATCTTGGAATCTTCTTGACAGTCGGAGGAGCATTTGGCAACATCACTACGAGTGTTAGCATGGGGCAGAACAATACTCCCACCCGTATCAAACGAAATGTGGTCTCTGGGGTGCAGATGAGCTTGGGAGCGATTGGCGGAATCATTGGCTCAACAGTGTTTCGTTCTCAAGATGCTCCTACGTATACGCCGGGAATTTCTACCGTGATTGGCTGCACCTTTGCGATTGCACTGTTGGGGCTTCTCCTTGCTGCAGACTATCGTCGTCTGAACAAAGCACACAGAGAGCAAGGCAGGGTGTTAGAAGGAGAGCCTAGCTTCATGTATACCTTGTGATCCTGAGCTCTTTATTATCAACTAATATAATGACCTCGTTATTGTGATTTGCAAAATTCCGTAAATACCTTATTTTTTACAATATGCAAAACACTTAACAATCATAAAAGCGGTAAGAACACAACGCCATTATCATGAGTAGACAGAACTGAGAACAGACGACATCTCAAAACTCCACGCCAAGCGTACTTGCCAAGCACGCAACGCCAAGAGAACTCAGGGTGGTCCAAATTGAAATCGATCTGGCCGAACACGTTCTAATAAACATCGATTCCCACCCCCTCGGCTTGACCACGATGTTTACACGACAAATGTAACAGAAGTTTCAGACCTAGTCTGATGCCGTGGATGTTTTGCTCTCCGATCCTGTACTCGGCTCGAGTGACTACCCCGGCTTTGGTCGCTTGCTTGAAAGAGCCAGCAGCCGCGGCCTGAGTGGTTGCATTCCACAAATAAGCCCTGTACCCTTGAAGTTGTATCATGAATCTGGCAACAAGGAAGATGCACCATCGAGCAGTCTCGTCTGCCGGTGTGATACCATTCTTCTGTATCCGTGTGGTCGTGTATCGCGTATCGCTATCTTATCTTTGTTCTTCCAAATCCATCCAAATTTCAAATCTTTTCCATCTTCCGGCGACGCAGGTGGTCCCGATCTAGGTGACTCTGATGGCTCGTGTGCCTCGGGAGAAGCCATCTCATGAGGATAGGCCACAGCGCGAGATAGGACTGACTGGATTCTGGTACATAAGGAAAAGGGTGGGTTAGCGATAGTTATGAGGAAAAGGTTGAGCCCGAGAAATACCAAGTGAGGACGAAGGTTCTTTCGCGCCCGTCACTGGGAGACCGTTTAGGCCCTCGGTATTCTCAGCACAGAGAATTATTGCTCTCTCCGGAAAGAAGCGGTGTTGAGGTTGCAGTTGTGCTCAGGATATCGTGGCTCATCAGGCGTGTAGTTGTTGTAGTTTGGAGGTTAGAAAAGAGCCAGAATAGAATGTGGTCAAAGGATCTGAGGAAGGTCGTGAAACTCTCGGCGTCAGGCTTGGCTTTCACACGATATGTGACTCAATTGCTCAATCTGAGGCGCGGCCACACAAAGGCTGTCCGGTTGTCGTGGATGAACCATAGGGAGGAGGATGAAGGGTTTGTTGTCGAGTCCTTTGAGTATCTAGGTAGGTACTTATGCCGGTGCATCTGGAACAGCGAACGCCACAATTGCCAGTCAATGTGCATACCAAAGTGGTGGATGATGGATCTCATCAAGCAGTCACTTTGATAACAACAAAGGCTTTGTCCTGCTGTTGACTGTTTGTATGCTGGAGCTTGTTCTGCGGTTGACTGTTTGTATGCAGGAGCTTGTCCTGCTCTTTACTCTTTTGTATGCTGGAGCTTGTTCTGCGGTT